GCTCTAACCACTCTACCACGACGGCGGTAATCAGTAAAGGGGTGGTGGGGGAACCCAGTGTTTGTCCCAGGTTCGATTCTCCCAAAGTTTACAGTTTGTGAAGTGCATATCTGATGTACGTGGTATTCAGGGAATATTGCAAAAAGCGGCAGAGAACAATATTCACTCAATGAAACTACATGCGTATCATCCAGATGTAACAGGTATGTGATCAGTTGTACATCTGAGGTTGACTGACTCACACAAGGTTTGGTTTGAGAAAAACTGGTCTGGACATATTTTCTGCTCTTTAACAGTGAATAACATGGACATGGCACCACAGGGGCTTGTAACGCTAAAAACTGCCATAAAGGCAGTATATGCCTTAGAACTAAGACCCCGTCAGTGACAGTATATGCCTTGATGGCAGTTTTTAGCGTTACAAGCCCCTGTGCATGACACAACAGTCGATGGGTTTGAAGATTTCTCTCTCAAAACAGACATGTAGTTTATATCTAGGTGTGATCAGAAGGATGAGAGTGGTTCTTCATCGATTGTTCCACTTGGGGGTGATATACAGCAGGTTTATGACAGCCGGAATCCATCGTTTCCCGAGGCGAACCATGCCATAACACGTTTTAATCACCAGCTAGTTGTTAAAACAGAATATCATCAACGCCCGATTATTCATAAGCGCAGCAGGCGCTTGGTGAGATGGGATGTATTATACTAAGGGGCATGTTTCTGTAAAGACTTATCGATTCCATCAAGCGAGCGTCTTGTGGTACCCCGTCCCAGAACACCTTCATCGGGGTTGGAGAATCGCTTCCAAATCACCACGTTCTTGCCACATTGCTCGTTTCTCGGCCGTTACAGATTAAGTGATCATTTCCACATTGTAATCATGTTACTGAGCTGCATCGCTTGGGTGAGTCTAGACTTGCTACAGGGCCAAGGTAGACTCTTCCTGGGATACACCAGAAATAGGATACGTTATGAATGCTATGTTTTGTAATCCACGTAAAATAACGCTTCTCTACATTCCACCGAGAACAGCGAATGGAGGTTTCCATAAGTTTAGTGTTGGTTGATTAACGTGATGCCAGATGGGTGCCATTTACTGCTGCTGTAGCTCTGTAACTAGATTAGTCGGAACACGTCTGGTCAGTTACTCAGATACGTTCATGCCTCTGTAGATACAGCGTATGGATGAAAGGCGTCAGGCTGCTGTAGGGACGGAGACGTCCTTAAGTCATGCCAACAAACACTGATCACGGAATCCCACACTCAGGTCCCAGGCTCCCCTGATTAGTATCCCAGTTCTGTCCTCAGCTCTAACTCAAAGTGGCAGACCTCAACAATTACCTGCCTAACTGACTGACTGACTGACTGACTTTAGTTTTACGCCGCTTTTAGCAATATTCCAGTAATATCACGGCGGGGGACACCAGAAATGGGCTTAACACATTGTGCCCATGTGGGGAATCGAACCCGGGTCTTCGGCGTGACGACCTGCCTAACTAAATGGTTTCACCTCAGTGTTAGATCTTAACAACCTGCCTAACTCATGGATTTCACCTAATTGGTAAACCACAACAACCTGCCTAACTCATGGATTTCACCTAAGTGGTAAACCACCTCAACAACCTGCCTAACTCATGGATTTCACCTAATTGGTAAACCACAACAACCTACCTAACTCATGGATTTCACCTAATTGGTAAACCACAACAATCTGCCTAACTCATGGGTTTCACCTCAGTGGTAGACCTCAACAACCTGCCTAACTCATGGATTTCACCTAATTGGTAAACCACAACAATCTGCCTAACTCATGGGTTTCACCTCAGTGTTAGACCTCAACAACCTGCCTAACTCATGGATTTCACCTAATTGGTAAACCACAACAATCTGCCTAACTCATGGATTTCACCTAATTGGTAGACCTCAACAACCTGCCTAACTCATGGATTTCACCTAATTGGTAAAACCACAACAATCTGCCTAACTCATGGATTTCACCTAATTGGTAAACCTCAACAACCTAACCTAACAGTGGTAAACCACAACAATCTGCCTAACTCATGGATTTCACCTCAGTGTTAGACCTCAACAACCTGCCTAACTCATGGATTTCACCTAATTGGTAAAACCACAACAATCTGCCTAACTCATGGGATTTCACCTCAGTGTTAGACCTCAACAACCTGCCTAACTCATGGATTTCACCTAATTGGTAAACCACAACAATCTGCCTAACTCATGGGTTTCACCTCAGTGGTGGACCTCAACAACCTGCCTAACTCATGGATTTCACCTAATTGGTAAACCACAACAACCTGCCTAACTCATGGATTTCACCTAGGTGGTAAACCTCAACAACCTGCCTAACTCATGGATTTCACCTAATTGGTAAACCACAACAATCTGCCTAACTCATGGGTTTCACCTCAGTGGTGGACCTCAACAACCTGCCTAACTCATGGATTTCACCTAATTGGTAAACCACAACAACCTCTACCTAACTCATGGGTTTCACCTCAGTGGTGGACCTCAACAACCTGCCTAACTCATGGATTTCACCTAATTGGTAAACCACAACAATCTGCCTAACTCATGGGTTTCACCTCAGTGTTAGACCTCAACAACCTGCCTAACTCATGGATTTCACCTAATTGGTAAACCACAACAACCTGCCTAACTCATGGGTTTCACCTCAGTGTTAGACCTCAACAACCTACCTAACTCATGGATTTCACCTAATTGGTAAACCACAACAATCTGCCTAACTCATGGGTTTCACCTCAGTGTTAGACCTCAACAACCTACCTAACTCATGGATTTCACCTAATTGGTAAACCACAACAATCTGCCTAACTCATGGGTTTCACCTCAGTGGTGGACCTCAACAACCTGCCTAACTCATGGATTTCACCTAATTGGTAAACCACAACAACCTGCCTAACTCATGGATTTCACCTAATTGGTAAACCACAACAATCTGCCTAACTCATGGGTTTCACCTCAGTGTTAGGCCTCAACAACCTACCTAACTCATGGATTTCACCTAATTGGTAAACCACAGTAATCTGCCTAACTCATGGGTTTCACCTCAGTGTTAGACCTCAACAACCTGCCTAACTCATGGATTTCACCTAATTGGTAAACCACAACAATCTGCCTAACTCATGGGTTTCACCTCAGTGTTAGACCTCAACAACCTGCCTAACTCATGGATTTCACCTAATTGGTAAACCACAACAATCTGCCTAACTCATGGGTTTCACCTCAGTGTTAGACCTCTACAACCTGCCTAACTCATGGATTTCACCTCAGTGGTGGACCACAACAATCTGCCTAACTCATGGGTTTCACCTCAGTGTTAGACCTCAACAACCTGCCTAACTCATGGATTTCACCTAATTGGTAAACCACAACAATCTGCCTAACTCATGGATTTCACCTCAGTGGTAGACCTCAACAACCTACCTAACTCATGGATTTCACCTCAGTGTTAGACCTCAACAACCTGCCTAACTCATGGATTTCACCTAATTGGTAAACCACAACAATCTGCCTAACTCATGGATTTCACCTCAGTGGTAAACCTCAACAACCTGCCTAACTCATGGGTTTCACCTCAGTGTTAGGCCTCAACAACCTACCTAACTCATGGATTTCACCTAATTGGTAAACCACAACAATCTGCCTAACTCATGGGTTTCACCTCAGTGTTAGACCTCAACAACCTACCTAACTCATGGATTTCACCTAATTGGTAAACCACAACAATCTGCCTAACTCATGGGTTTCACCTCAGTGTTGGACCTCAACAACCTACCTAACTCATGGATTTCACCTAATTGGTAAACCACAACAATCTGCCTAACTCATGGGTTTCACCTCAGTGTTAGACCTCAACAACCTGCCTAACTCATGGATTTCACCTAATTGGTAAACCACAACAATCTGCCTAACTCGTGGGTTTCACCTCAGTGTTAGACCTCAACAACCTGCCTAACTCATGGATTTCACCTAATTGGTAAACCACAACAATCTGCCTAACTCATGGGTTTCACCTCAGTGGTGGACCTCAACAACCTGCCTAACTCATGGATTTCACCTAATTGGTAAACCACAACAATCTGCCTAACTCATGGGTTTCACCTCAGTGTTAGACCTCTACAACCTGCCTAACTCATGGATTTCACCTAATTGGTAAACCACAACAATCTGCCTAACTCATGGGTTTCACCTCAGTGTTAGACCTCAACAACCTGCCTAACTCATGGATTTCACCTAATTGGTAAACCACAACAATCTGCCTAACTCATGGGTTTCACCTCAGTGTTAGACCTCAACAACCTGCCTAACTCATGGATTTCACCTAATTGGTAAACCACAACAATCTGCCTAACTCATGGGTTTCACCTCAGTGTTAGACCTCAACAACCTACCTAACTCATGGATTTCACCTAATTGGTAAACCACAACAATCTGCCTAACTCGTGGGTTTCACCTCAGTGTTAGACCTCAACAACCTACCTAACTCATGGATTTCACCTAATTGGCAAATCACAACAATCTGCCTAACTCGTGGGTTTCACCTAATAGGTAGACCTCTTCAACCTGCCTAACTCATGGATTTCACCTAATTGGCAAATCACAACAATCTGCCTAACTCGTGGGTTTCACCTAATAGGTAGACCTCAACAACCTGCCTAACTCACGGGTTTCACCCCAGTGTCAGACCTGCCAAAGGCTCGGGGTTTCTCCTAATAGGCAGATTTAAAAGAAAGCAAAACTTGCTTTACCAATTGGTTTCACTGAAGTGGCAGACTTCAACAACCTATTTCAACTCACTCACTCAATCAATCACTCAATCAGTCATTCAATCAATCACTCAATCACTCACTCATCCTGACCTGTGGCATATCTCGATGCTCTCGTCTTAAGGGGATCGTTTTTCTGATGCACATATATTCTAGCGGGGACTTGAGTAAGTCTAGTCTTGAGGGAATCTCCCCTTGCTGTGCCGTCCGTGAGGTTGGAAGAGTGGTCGGGATAGACGTCGCTGGTCGTCGACCAAGTCGGTTCGGGCGGTGTTTGTGTTGGCTGTGTCTGTCGTTACTGTCACGTCACACACCTGGAGTGTACTTTACCTGCTGATTACCTGTCAGGTACCATCAATAGGCGGCGTTCTTTCATCTGTCAGTGGACCAGGATACCACAATGAGGGCGAACAGCGTCTCCTGTATCAGGAACATGCTGGGTAGGGGTGAGTGTTGTACTGTTATATGTTCATATGTTGAGTAAACCGAATGAAGGATAAGAGTACGTTGATTACAATGTTTACAGGTAGTCTAGATAGGGACGGTTGTGACAAAGCCGTCCCAGATGTAGCGATACTGTCATACAACGCAAAGTGACATCGCCTAATTCAATGTCCTCATACTATATTTGAAGAGTTTTACTACAGAATTTACCACATCATACTAGGATGGGGTGTGATGACGTCAAACCAGGAAACAAGGAGAGTCCCTGTTGCAACAAGCACCTGAATTACGAAATCGGTGACACGACGGTGAAACTGACACACCACTTGTATATCTGTCAATTTAACTTCTGTCTCTCTCATATCTGTCAATCATGCCTCGCCTTCAACCACGTATCAGTCGACTGAAGGTATATTATATATATCACGCTGGGTGATATCATCCATATTCATGTCTAGTTATTGTGTCACCAATGTCGTCTTGCTTCAGTTGACGTGTCGGGTATAAACACGCCGACAGTGATCGATATAGATGCATATGTCACTGGTTACAGTCTGTACCATGTGTCACTGGTTACAGTCTATAGCACGTGTCACAAGGGTCGTTACCTATTGCAATGCGGACCTTGGTAAGATACTTACTCCCAGTGTTAAATAACGGTCGATTATGGTCGCCACTGTATGAAACTATTGTGTTCATGGTGGTTGTGGTTGGGACATTCATATGTTAATGTTTCATGTAGTTTCACGGCAATGACAGGAAGATATTTGCGAGGTATTGTGACTGTGCATAATCCTGTTAGCGGGAATGATTTACTATACAATAAACACTACTACGGTAGATCTGACCACAGTCTTATGTCAACATCTGACGCAGGTGCACAGGAATGTTGAGTCTATTTACGGTCGATTGGTAACACCCACACCCAAGAATATAGGTGACCCCTGACAATTGGCCCATTGACAATATCAACCCTGGGGATGCTGTAGGCGACATCGGCAGCCCTAGTGATGAAGAGTATGGCACATGGCACATCATCTATCTCTAACACAGGGGTTACAGTACATATGGACGTACATACTTGGTTATGTATAGCCAACACCGGTAACTATACTGACTGGAGGCGTTATTGATTACTGTTGCAGCTGGTTAGCATATACTTGCATATTGACAACAAGGAAAGGTGTTTCTCTGTTGATCAATGAGGAAAATATCTGCGCGGCGGGGTGTTACTGGCTGGAGATACGAGTTTAACATCCTAGTTAGGGGATCAGGCTCTCCTGATTCTTTGGAAGTATTTGAAAAACATTTGACAGTGAAGTTTGCGCTCCAGATAATACAAACAAAGCCAAAAATAGTATTGGACGGCTTTACAGCTTGCGATGTTCCTTAATACTTCCTGAAGCATTGTGTGAAGGGGGAAATATTCCGGTTGCTGAAATGATCGGTAGTACCTCCTTGTTAATCTCTGCTATTACTGGGATTGTGTTTGTCGGGTTCCGGTTAAAACAGCGGCGTGTTTGTTCAGTGACGGGTGTTTGCCAGTGTTAATTATGCTGTGCCAGCAGTCGATGTTGTTGAAGCAAGCTCAGCGACGTTGAACTCACCGTGTTGACAATGAAGGAGTGGACGTTAACATATCGCATAATTATGGCAGACTCGCAGGGACATCCTAGTTAAAACATTATGTATATGTACGTCGAACTATGGCACATCAGTAGGGACATTCTAGTTTATGAAACTGTCAGTAGGGACATTCTAGTTTATGAAACTATAAAGCGTACGTCGAACTATGGCACATCAGTAGGGACATTCTAGTTTATGAAATTATAAAGCGTACGTCGAACTATGGCACATCTGTAGGGACATTCTAGTTTATGAAACTATAAAGCGTACGTCGAACTATGGCACATCTGTAGGGACATTCTAGTTTATGAAATTATAAAGCGTACGTCGAACTATGGCACATCTGTAGGGACATTCTAGTTTATGAAACTATAAAGGGTACGTCGAACTATGGCACATCTGTAGGGACATTCTAGTTTATGAAACTATAAAGCGTACGTCGAACTATGGCACATCAGTAGGGACATCATGTTTATGGACAGGACATATGATCTCATTGACAACATTGGGAATATAGGAATGAAGCATTTCGAAAACAGTATCCAGCGTTCTGTTTTGTTTTAAATTTTGTTATGAAAATATTCACGGCTTCTACAACTTGAGTACAATAACGTGTAGTCAATAACTGGTACATCCCGTCTTGATGTTACTAGAACATTGTTAAAATGGCCGTAAAGCCATAATCCCTCACTCACCCAACATCGAGCAGTACTGATGCTGTATTCCTGTAAGTTGTCTGTGAGTGTATTTATATGTATAGAGACTAATGAGATCGTGGTGTATATTACATAACCTTGTTACAGTTGGAGGCACAATCTTCCTATCTCGGACACGGTTCTCACTCGCGTTCTGATCGTGTTTTCACCTCATTTCCACTTTACGAGACCATAAATAGACAACTGCTTCAATATGTGCCCTGGAAATACCACAGTAACACTTACTACTCTAATTCTGCGTGTGCTTCATAGCCGAACGTCACCCCCTCATTCCGCACCTCAACAGATCTGGCCTGCCATGTAGCATTAGGGGGGATTCTCTCCCGTGGTCAGATCTCGTAGCTCACCTCTCCGGCACAACTGTCTGACCACATCAAGGGTCAGTCCAGGAATTCAAGCCGACTCTTGCAGTTGTTTCACCTTGTGGCGATAGGCTGTTCTGTCTAAAATGTCAGATCTCTTTTATTCGAGTTTACCCGTGAAGGTCCGTGTTAGAATGTACCTTCAGCAACCCATGCTTGTCGTAAGAGGCGATTGACGGGATCGGGTGGTCAGGCGCGCTGGCTTGGTTGACACATGTCATCGGTTTCCAATTGCGCAGATCGATGCTCGTGCTGTAGATCACTGGATTGTCTGGTCCAGACTCGATTATTTACAGACCGCCGCCATATAGCTGGAATATTGCTGAGTGCGGCGTAAAACTAAACTCACTCACTCACTCACTTTTATTCGAGGTACATGCGTTCGTGTTTGCAAGCGTTAGGGTGAGTGAGTAAGTTTAACACTGCTTGCGGCCGTATTTCAGTTAAATCAAAGGGTATCCGTTTAACGATGGAGGTGAACCGAAGTGAACCAGGTCCAACCGTTTATCACTTTGGTGAAACCGAAGACTCGGCTTCTGTATGAGCTTGTATAGGAGCGTACTGCCAGGCTTCTTTAGATCACTACATGCCCGTTCTTCATAGCGACCACAGCGCTCGACTAGAAAGTCATGTTGAAGTCACGATCACTTTAATACTTCGCTTTGTGGAACGGAGCCCAGATACTAAAAACGGAACTTGAAGTTCGACGAGAACCGAGTGATGTTAGCTTGTGATGTGGAAAAAGTGTTCATGGTGATGGTATAGGTTGTCTGTGTTTACAGCAGATGGACGTGTCGGTTCATGGATACACCCTGACTGCAGCTTCACATCAGGCAGAGGGCACACATGAGACTGTACACGATACGCTGTACACCTGTGGTTGCACACGATACACTGCACACCTGTGGTTGCACACGATACACTGTACACCTGTGGTTGTACACGATACACTGTACACCTGTGGTTGTACACGATACACTGTACACCTGTGGTTGCACACGATACACTGTACACCTGTGGTTGTACACGATACGCTGTACACCTGTGGTTGTACACGATACACTGTACACCTGTGGTTGTACACGATACACTGCACACCTGTGGTTGTACACGATACGCTGCACACCTGTGGTTGTACACGATACACTGCACACCTGTGGTTGTACACGATACGCTGCACACCTGTGGTTGCACACGATACACTGCACACCTGTGGTTGCACACGATACACTGTACACCTGTGGTGGATTGCACACGATACACGGTACACTAGAGACTGTGGTTGCAAGATACACATGTTGTTGCACACGATACACTGTACACATGTTGTTGCACACGATACACGGTACACTAGAGACTTACAAGATACTCCGTACACTTGTGGTTGCACACGATTTACCTCGTGAGACTGTACACCTTGGCCTGTAGTCATGAAAGTAAACACAGTGAGTTAAATACAAACACTGTACACATGAGACACGTGCGACTGTATTGGTGTATATGTAGACTCGCAACCAGAGCTGTCAGATTCACGTGAGCGTGCAAGGCTGTATTTTGTACGTGGGTTTTATCATCAACAAGTGCATCTATGTCGGTGTTCACACAGAATCCTGTGGTCCTGGGAGACAGTGCACCTGCTTCCCCATCAGTGTTTGTGTGGAGTACATGGAGACGCGGTGTTTAGTGCCACGTGTAGGTCGAAGCCCTCAATCCCGAGGGTTTATCACGTCTAGAGGTCAGCGATTAATCGATATTACAGAAACTTTGAAAAAAGCTTCATCGTATTTTCCTGAAGAAAACTTTCTAAAATAGACGTTGTAAGCATTTCAATAGCAGCGTCGATTTGTGATAAGATGGCAGCAAAGACCGTACTGAATTTACTTCTTGTGAACACAGTAGGAAGTGTTCAATGTACTGCTTGTGAACACAGTAGGAAGTGTTCAATGTACTGCTTGTGAACACATTAAGAAGTGTTCAATGTACTGCTTGTGAACACAGTAGGAAGTGTTCAATGTACTGCTTGTGAACACAGTAGGAAGTGTTCAATGTACTGCTTGTGAACACATTAAGAAGTGTTCAATGTACTGCTTGTAAACACGACTGGTGGTGTTGTATGCACTGATTTCGAACAAAACCGCAGGGAAACATAGTGAGCGTATCTACTCGACATGTCAGTCTAGTCCCCTGTGTCATGTATCTACTCGACATGTCAGTCTAGTCCCCAGTGTCATGTATCTACTCGACATGTCAGTCCCCTAGTCCCCTGTGTCATGTATCTACTCGACATGTCAGTCTAGTCCCCTGTGTCATGTATCTACTCGACATGTCAGTCTAGTCCCCTGTGTCATGTATCTACTCGACATGTCAGTCTAGTCCCCTGTGTCATGTATCTACTCGACATGTCAGTCTAGTCCCCTGTGTCATGTATCTACTCGACATGTCAGTCTAGTCCCTGTGTGTCATGTATCTACTCGACATGTCAGTCTAGTTCCCTGTGTCTGTGTGTGTATCTACTCGACATGTCAGTCTAGTCCCCTGTGTCATGTATCTACCGACATGTCAGTCTAGTCCCCAGTGTCATGTATCTACTGACATGGTCCCCAGTGTCATGTATCTACTCGACATGTCAGTCTAGTCCCCTGTGTCATGTATCTACTCGACATGTCAGTCTAGTCCCCTGTGTCATGTATCTACTCGACATGTCAGTCTAGTCCCCTGTGTCATGTATCTACTCGACATGTCAGTCTAGTCCCCTGTGTCATATATCTACTCGACATGTCAGTCTAGTCCCCTGTTTCATGTATCTACTCGACATGTCAGTCTAGTCCCCTGTGTCATGTATCTACTCGACATGTCAGTCTAGTCCCCTGTGTCATGTATCTACTCGACATGTCAGTCTAGTCCCCTGTGTCATGTATCTACTCGACATGTCAGTCTAGTCCCCTGTGTCATGTATCTACTCGACATGTCAGTCTAGTCCCCTGTGTCATGTATCTACTGTCATATATCTCTCTGACATGTCAGTCTAGTCCCCTGTGTCATGTATCTACTCGACATGTCAGTCTAGTCCCCTGTGTCATGTATCTACTCGACATGTCAGTCTAGTCCCCAGTGTCATGTATCTACTCGACATGTCAGTCTAGTCCCCTGTGTCATGTATCTACTCGACATGTCAGTCTAGTCCCCTGTGTCATGTATCTACTCGACATGTCAGTCTAGTCCCCTGTGTCATGTATCTACTCGACATGTCAGTCTAGTCCCCAGTGTCATGTATCTACTCGACATGTCAGTCTAGTCCCCTGTGTCATGTATCTACTCGACATGTCAGTCTAGTCCCCAGTGTCATGTATCTACTCGACATGTCAGTCTAGTCCCCTGTGTCATGTATCTACTCGACATGTCAGTCTAGTCCCCTGTGTCATGTATCTACTCGACATGTCAGTCTAGTCCCCTGTGTCATGTACTCGACATGTCAGTCTAGTCCCCTGTGTCATGTATCTACTCGACATGTCAGTCTAGTCCCCAGTGTCATGTATCTACTCGACATGTCAGTCTAGTCCCCAGTGTCATGTATCTACTCGACATGTCAGTCTAGTCCCCAGTGTCATGTATCTACTCGACATGTCAGTCTAGTCCCCAGTGTCATGTATCTACTCGACATGTCAGTCTAGTCCCCAGTGTCATGTATCTACTCGACATGTCAGTCTAGTCCCCTGTGTCATGTATCTACTCGACATGTCAGACATGTGTGTCAGTCTAGTCCCCTCATGTACCTACTCGACATGTCAGTCTAGTCCCCTGTTTCATGTACCTACTCGACATGTCAGTCTAGTCCCCAGTGTCATGTATCTACTCGACAGATGTATGATTGTATCAGAACACCCTGATCTGATGGAGACGGGGAAACACTCGCGTCTTGATGTGCCTGGAATCCGTGTATAAAGCGGAGAATCCGTGACATTTGCCGAGTTCATCCGACTTGTTCCAAGAATCCCCTCCTGGAGGCGGGCACACCACCTTTTCGTTGATACTCCTTTTGAACGTACCTAACATCCGGGGCATGAGGAGACGGCACCGTGTATATCTCTGGCCCGTGGGGACGCTGGCTCCCCGAGAAGTTCATACTGAACAACACGTCATCAGTCTGTGGTGACCTTGTGTACACTCGCTGGTCATTTGTTTCACAGTTATGTTGGCATTGTATGACGGTATATGATTTCATCCCCCAGTTGTTTTGTGAAGTGCAAGTTTTGGAGAGGGAAGGCTTAAAGGGGAGGGCTTGATTTGGCGGGCAAGGTAGGGAGTAACCCAGTACATCTGTATCTTGAAGAACATCCTCAAGTGTCGACCTCTTGTGTAGAAGATCCGGATGCTCCCTCATCTGTAGGTACGGTATTTACTGTACAGAGGGTGCCTTCTTACTGTACGTGTAGTGTAGTGACCCGCCATTCTGGCTGAGTGGGTCGGGGTGTGAAGGGTGTAACCTATCTACATCAAAGCCCTCAAGTAGTAGCAACACACTGATCTACCTGACTCAACACTCCTCACAGATCTAAAGTAACCAACTCATAGACAACAAGTCACTGTACGCATTCTTTGAAGATGTAAAGTGTTTTGAGACCTGTCGGCTCTTTTCTTGCTCTTTCTCGGGAATCCACACGAATCGGTATGTGAGAGAAAGACAGCAGAGCGAGAGTGAGTGAATATGGTTTTACGTTTAAGCTAATATTCCAGCCATGTACCGGTGAAGGATATCAGAAGTGACTTCACACGAAGTACCCATGTCACTGTAAGGAGCTACCACTGGGCTTCTCTAGCTTGCCGCCCTGACAGGGACACTAGTCACGGAGAGAAACGGGTTGTCTGTATCTGCCTGTCCCGGTCTACCCTGTATTGTTGTAAGATAACCTATAACCTCATTAATTAGCCCCGTTAGGTGTGGAGGTGCAGGATGTCAGGGTGTGTCAGGAGATAACAGAACAACGCTCACGTGGCTCTAACACCATGCCTTACCTGTGATACAATTATCGTATACTTCATGCATTGTTTATTTACCTTCGGGTGGGGAATGTTTAGAAAATAAGCTGCTGAATAGCCGTGCACGATGTTGATGCTGATAACAACTACACTGCAACAGCAGATGGAAACACGGCCGTCCATGATGAATCCATTTCTAACGTGCCAGCATTCAATTATCTTGCCATCTGACTGAGATCTCTCGAGGATAAGGAACGATGGAAACCTGCATGTGGGTTCTACACAAAGTTGGCAAGTTGGCAAATTAAGAGAGTTTAAGTATTTCCCCGGCAGTGAATTCCTGAGGTACTGCTGGGTTACAGTAACCTGCAACACTCTCGTCCCCGTGATGCTGCTGAAATGTAGTTGTGATGATCAAGGTCGCCAAGGACGTGGGCGGAGTTAGGGTCATTCCTGTTACAGCTGGTCAGTGTAGGCATTAGTTGGATGACTGAGGTCAACGTCTCATTCTGTCTGTGAGAGTATAAACCTATCTGAATGGAACTATAACTGTTATATTAAAATGGCTGCTCCCTGTTACAGGAATTGGACTCACGTGCTTGGCTCTTGTTATAACCATTATTTTTATGGCAATTTGTTCTCATGTTTTAATCAGTATGCCTTGTGATTATCTGGACGACAAATGTACTGTTGGGAGAGGGTCAGTGGTCAGTTGTCGCTGGTGATCAGATTCCATCCTTCACACTCCGATCCAGCATGGTTTTGTCACGCAAAAACAGTCAGTACCACGTGCCTTGGTATAAAGTTCTCTTTACTTATGGAAAGGGAAACTCACTCAATCGCACACTGAAATTTACTGTCCACCAAGCCATTCTCCCACTCACTTACTCAATGATCCCCACCAATAGATCAGAGGGTCCGGCTGGGTCGATGCGCAGACCATCAATCACTGGATTGTCTGATCTGACTCCGTTATATAAAACTCGTTATTCAACACTCATTGTCACCATTACACCTACTCCTACTGAAGGATGTTACAACTGTTTCTTCTGTTTCAGGTGCATCGTCCCCTCCTCCGACAAGCTACGATGGCGAGATTCCGATCTGAGCTCCACATTCCGATAAAGAAAGATGATCTGAACTTCCAGGACCGACAGATCAGTCTGTGGACCGACATGGAGAGCAGGATGGAACAGCGGAGGAAAGAATGGGAAAATGAGTTCGAGAAGATGCGCCATGACTTCTTCACTCTTAAACCCTCAGAAAAGAGGGCTAGCATTATTCAAATGGACAATAACAAAACATTGTTTGAAACGGACAGTGAGGGACGACAAAAGTTCAAGGTCAGATTTGACGTTAGCGAGTTCAAGGCTGAAGAGATACAAGTCAAAGTTCAGCAATCAAAGATCATTGTGAACGCCCGCCACGAGGAGAAGACCTCCAACTCGACGGTGAGTCGGGAGTACAGCCGCCAGGTGGACATTCCCAGCCAGGTCGACCCCGACAAGCTTCAGTGTCTTCTCAGTAAGGACGGCATACTGAGTATTGAGGGACCAGTGCAGAACTTGCTGCAAAGGGAAGTAATGCTTCCTATCCAGAGCGACACCACGTCAAAGCCACTAGGTGTCGCCACACCCGTCAAGAATCCTATCATAACGGAAGCGGACGGGTCGAGGAGACTTCGGCTTCAGGTGGACGTCGGGGAGTTCAATCCCGAGGACATTGTTGTCAAAACTATGGACAAGAAGCTGATTGTCCACGCCGAGCGACAAGAGAAGATGACGAACCGGACACTACATAAGGAGTTTAATAAAGAATACGATCTTCCAGACAGCGTGGACCCTACAACCATCACGGCCTATATAGCAGAGGACAAACAGCTGACGATAGAAGCGCCCCTCAAGCCCCTCCAGACACAGCGGAAGTCGTATGCCGTTACCCAGAGCTCTAATGTAAGGAAAGTGTCTGTTACCAAGGATTCGGCCGTCACGATCACGGACAGCCAGGACAGACCAATGGTGACCATCAGCGTGCACAGGAGATAGGCGGGTCACGTGGCCGCACATTTTGATGACGTTACACATTTACGGTTCTGCTGTTAAGCTATGGATATATCGTCTGTAGACCCCTGGAGGTGTAGATGTTTCCAGTGGCGATGACGTCATAAAGCTTTCATTCTCATCACGTGATGTCATCACGCGAGATGTCATGGAGACATTGTTGACAAGTTCACGACTGCTTCCGATGCATGTTCGATATCACCAGACAAGCTTTCCGATTCAATCCGATGATGGCCGATTCTTTCAATATTGGTCCTTAAATATCTCGGACCACAGAACGTGCTTATTCTGTGCAAACGGAGCGCATATATTCGTCAAGTAGAGAGAAGGTGGGGTGTACGCTGCGTCCAAGGACAGTCAATGTGCTTCTGTGAGAGTTATGTCCCGTGTGAGACCCCGAGTGGCCCCGTGCAATATGGTCACCGAGACCTGACCCTTGATCAAGTATAACATCCACAATTCTAATGAATTTCCCAGAATTCCAAGTGTGACTAAGGAGTACTGCTTCCGGTAACAGCAGCAGCAACAGCGAGTCGTGTGCTTGTGATACGACAACGTTTCTGGATGTAGATATAGATAGTTTGCCCATGCTTTCCTTTGACATGAAACACTGTGCCTCAGTGTTGTGGTATAGCTGTTGGTAAAGCTCTAGCTTCGGACATCGCCTGTAACTTACTAGATATGTATATAGAGATAGGCTATTTATTCAACTTGTTTAAGCATATTTTGTTGATTTTTAGAACTGTGATAGTTTCTAGTCTGTGTATATTTGAGGCACACAGGTATAATGTTCTCAGTGGTGCTTGCCAATCAATATGGTATAAACTGTATACTGTATGTTATCAGGGGATGTCTATTACTCTGACTCACTCACTCTAAGTGTCCGTCTGTCTGTCCGTCCGTCCGTCTGTCGACAAGCATCTGCCATGATGTATGAAGGTTTGGTTCAGAGTGTCAGTTACTGCACAGCTATATTTGTCTAGGCAACCTCCAGATACGAGATAGTTAGTCTGTATTACCCTTCGTCACAAAGTAAACTATCCATAAAACCATAAGAAATCCGAAATTGTGTGATTAGTATCGGCACTTGTGAAATCCAAGACGAATTTGTAACCTCACATAGTAAATACACCATAGCAAGCCCTTATCCCAGACTGGTTATAGTACTGTTGTCTAGGCGGGAAGGGAACCGCCGTAGCTAGATAACCAGTGACTCTCCTGTTATGCCAGGAATCTCGTGGCGTCATCGCTGAATGAAAGATGGATAACCAAAATAGAATAATCTGTTTCAAGTTTAGTTATCTTTTTAAGCATTATATCTTCCCCCTGGCAACCCGAGCCGCAGACGTGATCTATTTCGGTTGAATGTGTCGGTTATGTATGGAGGTTTGCATGTTTGGGGGGTCAGGACTAACACTACTGGGATAGAGGATGGTGGGGGATTGCCCCATAACATCTGTCGGGGTATCTCGGGAACGAATCATTCACAATGTGCATAAATATCTTTGAACTTCAGGTGCAGGCCTCCATCCTATATAAGCGTGTATAGATTCCACTCTGCAGATTCTCTACTACTATAGTCCTGGCTCCAATCTACTGTGCTTAGTGGTTATCAGTCTCAGACTGTCAATTTAGTCAGACCTTAACTGTCCCCGCAGTCAGACTTAAACTGTCAATGTAGACTTGAACTTAAGTCAAACTTGAACTGTCCCCTGCAGTCAAACTTGAACTGTCCCCCGCAGTCAGACTTAAACTGTCAATGTAGTCAGACTCGAACTGTCCCCGCAGTCAGACTCGAACTGTCAATGTAGTCAAACTTAAACTGTCAATGTAGTCAAACTTGAACTGTCCCCGCAGTCAGACTCGAACTGTCAGTGTAGTCAGACTCGAACTTTCAATGTAGTCAGACTCGAACTGTCAATGCAGTTATATTCGACTGGCATGTCACTGACAACAGCTTTCCCTCTGTGTCGGGACACACGCCTCCCCCTGCGGTATTGTCAGGCACCTTGCACACAGATCTGCTATACACGACTTGATTGTATGTATAATAGCGACTAAATCAACAACACATATCAAAATAGTAGTCACGTGATGAGTTGCGTCGTCTGTATAACTGATAACCAGCAGGTACCTCCTCCCCGAGATGTAGGTCACAGGTACATCGTAATTCCTCCACAGGATACAGAGTGAAGTTTGATTTTAAAGTCTCAAGATTGAAACACCTATTGTTTATTTATTCGTTTATTTATTAGTACCCAATTTAGGGGATTTCCATACACTAAACTTAGTGCACAATACAGCTGGCTTCCTTAAAACTAATCTTAGTAGCCGACAGATGTGGGTTTCCTAACAACATGTCTTAGTACCCGATAGACATTGGTTTCCTTACTCAGTACATCTTAGTACCCGATGGATATATGGGTTTCCTAACCTGTCTTAGTAACCGATAGACATTTGTCTTAGTACCCGATAGACATTGGTTTCCTTACCCAATACATCTTAGTACCCGATGGATATATGGGTTTCCTAACAACCTGTCTTAGTACCCGATAGACATTGGTTTCCTTACCCAATACATCTTAGTACCCGATGGATATATGGGTTTCCTAACAACCTGTCTTAGTATCTGATACACGTGGATTACCAAAAAACATTTCAGTATTATATCGGGGACGACCCCAACAGCTTTATCAACTGCCACCATCGTTGCTGGTTTGTGTAGTCCGCCATCTCGGTTCTGCAGAATCCATGCTACAGTTTTCAATCTTAATTTGTTTTCTGGAATATTGTGTTCTGTTTACTTACAGTCTCGATGTCCACGCGGATCTGCTGTTTGTTTCACGTCCATGGAAGTTGTCGTTTCAGGTATCAGTCTTGTTGTTGACAAACGGTTGGGTGTGTAATACTATATACGTTGAAACAAAACATGTTATAGTTGTCAGTTACATCTTTATTACAGTTACTCCGTTCCTTGTCGTTATATCGGGGGAGTTATCTCCCCTTGACTTCCGGTGCCGTATGGCCATACCGTACTCTTTAGGACGAACGTGTACTTGTGACAGTGGTTGGATTTGTATGGCAAACTGGAACATGTTACACGGTAATCCTAGCGGCAATAAGATCAAGGGGAGATAAGTCAACCTACACTTCCGTTACGTCTATTATATTCCTTCGTAAAATGTTAATAAATGATTCAACAGGTTCGTGTCTCGTTCTTGTTGCCTGCCTATGTATCTACGGTGAGGAGGCATACAGCGAAACCCCGATATACCGGATTTCACGTCACTCGGACCACTTAATGAGGGATATATTCACGGATACAGGCGGCCATTCATCCATGATGACACCGGCTGGATTACCCCAGGAACTGTACTGTCTGGCTTAGTGGCACCCCAGTGTGTGGGCGGGACTGGGCAGCGGCACGCATCTCTCGTAATGACAAAGTTTCAAACGATTTACGTGTCAACAAAAGCATTTGTGTGCCCACAACAGCATTAAAAACACAGGTAAACCGTTGATTTAAACAGGCCAATGGTTGATTGTAAGTGTTTAAATTCATATTTGAACATTAAAAGTGTATAAGACTAAGCCATTTGAACATATCTGTAATTTACATACGAATATTTCAGTGTTTCTGCAGAATTTGAACTATCAGTGGCCCATGGCCAGCCCATGTCGTATGTAAAAGGGATTCAATTTTACCATTATACTTTTAGTTTAAAAACAAATATTTCCATCCAAAATGACAATTGTACCAATGTGCTTGATTGGCATTTTAGAAGATGCTATTTGATGAACATAGAGATTTTTTCAGTATTATATCGGGGACGACCCCAACAGCTTTATCAACTGCCACCATCGTTGCTGTTTTGTGTAGTCCGCCATCTCGGTTCTGCAGAATCCATGCTACAGTTTTCAATCTTAATTTGTTTTCTGGAATATTGTGTTCTGTTTACTTACAGTCTCGATGTACTCAAGAATAAAAAGAAGATGTAACCCAGAAAAAGTCTCTATGTACCAATGTGGTACCCAAAACCCATGTACATATAACAGCCAAATGACCCCACACCTTCCTAACAGAGGCACCATGTGGGTCATTTAAACTGCCACATCTCCCAGCACAGTTGTCCATATTGTGGCATGTAATTGTGGCTGAAGTGCCAGGTATGCTAACTGCCTCACTGGGCGAGCTGAAACAACTACAGCACATGAGCCGATTACTGGTGTGGGCTTTGATCTCGAGGAACTGTCGGAGCACCAATGTGTGAGAAGCACGCTATGTGTTCCCAGACAGAATGTATGGGGGAAGGGGTGGGTGGATTGTGTTTGGGATGCTTAGAGAACCTCGGTGTTCAGAACGCTAATTATGTTTTCACGTAGAGAAAGAACGATAAGGTCACAATAAAAGGGGTCTGTATGAGGAATATGTTTAGCAATAAACTTACCGGAGACAACCACTAGAAGCAGTCCAACCCTAATAAACTGTCCCTACCCCTACAGCCAACCCTGCCCCCACCCCTACAAGCGAAGAACACCCTTCCTTCCTCCTCCCTGGTGCTTGGAACGCAGCTGCCCCTCCACAGCGACCTTGGGAGGGTGACCCCCAGCTAAGTGCCATTACTTCATTTGGTTTTCCAGCAAGATGAGCTAATTGTGTTGCGATGTCGTTCACGTTTTCTGGAGAATTTGGGAGGTTGTCCAACAAGTTTAGTGGAATTGTGCTGTGGTGCCAAACACAAGAGGCATGTCGGTGTCTCTGCGGTGTAAGTATCCATGTTGGGGGCGGAGGGCTGACTAACTCAGGGTGAATGTTGGTTTAAAATAACGGTATATTTCAGGCACAACTGGCGCTATATCCAGACATGGCTATTATCTAACAATGTGTCTCGCGGTAGAGAAAATGTTTTATGCATGTATAACAGTAAACGGTAACCAGATACATCATCCACTTAAACTCAGGAGCATGTTATCTCAGTTTGGTGCTGGTTTTAAGATTAATCAATATCTTAGTGAATAACAACATTTTGTACAAAGGGCACACACTTAGCAATGGAACCTTTAGCTCTGTAACAGGGACAGCGGCGGCCGATACGTTAGATGAAAGAAATCATAAGTCTGTTGCTTGGACGAGTACTTGTTTAGTTAGTTATTTGTTTATTGATTTATTTATTAAACTTAAAATTAACAAATGATGAATGATTAACCAAGATATCATAAAGTTTCGCTCGACACAATCTGCCACCTGTCGTCGACGTCGTCTGGTGACCAAGCAAAGCTGCTGTTGACGTCGCCGGAAGCATCGTGTGTAATTCAGCGGTTAATGGAGATTTGAAGATTAACAATATGTCAGTCATTCGAGTACCTCTAAAGCCAGACCACCTGCACGATCGTCATAAAACCATAGCTAATAAATCAGCGTATAATACCATATTGGTGTCACGTTGCTCGCTGTGCTGCTCATGGTAATTAACTAACATCTAACAATGTACACAATGTTTGCCGTAAAATAAACAGCTACTGAGAAGTGATCAGTATGGTGTACGTCTGGCGTGACGCCAGCATCTCCCGGCAGCGACAGGGACGTGCGACCTGGACGTCTTCCAACGACATCACGGCAGGTGCTGCTGGTATTCGGTGACAAGGCTGTAAACACGGAAGTGAAGGTTGCATGACGGGATAGAGACAGACAGAGATGTGTAATGAGATATGCTGCAGTCTTTGGCAACGTTTCCGTGCGACGTCGTGGCTTAAAGACAGAGGACGGGCACGTCAGAAGTGTTGTCAATGTAGCTGCTGTCAGAGTTTGGCGCACGGGTACATTCTTGTGACATCCACGTACCCCATGTCCTCTGCAGCCAGTGAAGCAACACGTCTCGGTGAGATATATATGGGCAGACAACCTACCCTGTCTACTTGGTCCTCGTTTAGACATCATCATGACGTCTGCTGTCACCTTGCAGCATTTGGTATAACAAATAATGTAGACTACAGCGATAGATGGTGTTCATGACGAGGTATGGACACAGTGAGGTCAGTGCACAGGGTTGAAGGTCAAGGTTTTACTATACCGTACGTCAGTCCGAGCCTCATATTATGAAGTGGCAGCTTTGTTTTTGTCCTATTTGTTGAAACATGGCATCTGACGACTTGAATAAAAGACAACCTGGAAGCTCAACTCAGAAGTCTCGATAGCTCTGTCACTTTAGACAATACAGATATAGAAGAAATATATAATCTTAACCTGAAGGTCAATTCAGTCAAGGTCATACTACATATCACACTATAGATTCTATCACACTGCACACTCTATCATTCTACAGTATCTATCATATGTAGGGCTCTACAATACCTAAGGTACTATCATTCATCAGACTATATACAACAGGATCTACCATGCTCATCCATACTACAGGGTTGTGATACTACAGACACGGACAGGGATGTTATCTAGTGACTGGGTAACAGGACGCTCTAAACTGGCGCTCGTGTCCATCTGCCCAATCCCCTGTCAGCCTACCAATCTCACTAACACCATGATAGGGCCCTGGCGTAATTACATCAATGGTTTAATAGCGTAATACAACATGCGATCTCCCGATCTAACGCGAGATTGTAGGCGATAGAGCGCTATCCTTCCAACTAGTTAGACTTTATGAGTGTTTGACGGTTG